GGGGAAGGATAGGAAGGGGAAACAAAGGAGGAGGCTACAATGCTTGATAAGAAGTATACTCATTATCTTGCCCATGTAATTGTAACCCCTCTGCACAGTATTTTCACAATAAAAAAATAATTTCATGAATCACAGACAATTCAGATTCTAATAGGCCTCTTTTACTCATTTGTGCTTGAATACATGAAAACCGTTCATACTTAAGAATGTGAAGTTGTTCGCCTGATATCCAGCACATCGAGATGTTTAGTGATGACATCGAGAGTCTCACATTCTTGATGCTTGCAGAGAAACGCAGGCCGGCCCCTGCCTCTGTTGTCTCTTGCTTCTCTAGCCCAGGAACTGTGGATGGCTTCCAGCAGCTCCACTGTACTTTAATAAGCGAATTCAGAGACTCCAGGCAGACTTCCAAAACTTGAGGTTTTGCTTAAGTTCCTTTTACTTATTGGTTTGTTTCAACTTCTAAAAAAAAAATCTGGCTGGGAAAGTTGGTGCAGTATATTTCAGTTGTAGAAGGAAAATAAAAGTAATAAGATTTGATGCAAGATATTACAACCTTGAGCGTCTTTGATAGATGCAAGATATGATGGTCTTGAGTCTCTTTGATAAAAACAGCCCATCAGAATCTGAAAGTCTCTGGTCAGACGTAATTGTACCAAACAATATTGAAATAAAGTAGTGAAATTTACTCTGTTTTCATGATGGGTGATTCTTCTAATATATACAGTGATATCTGTACAAGTATCTATATTGAAAAATTAAAAGTTCAATTTCAGATGTGTTGGTCTATGGATTACCAGTATAAGCTATTATTTGTGAACTTTCAGTTTTTTGTAGAAAGTTTTAAGTTTGTGAAACTTTTTATAGATAGTGGATATACAAAAAACCATGATTAACATCCTGATTTTTACCATTCTGCTATGTTTTTAGGACAACCTTTTAATTTTAAACCAACCAAAAAAATTCTCTTTGTTTTAGCATGGATGACATTTAACTCTGAAGGCAAAAGTCAGATACTCAAAACCCTAACTAACACTTGAAAACTTCGAGAATTTGTGCAATTGCTGTTAGGGATATTTTTCCCCTTTGATCAACATAGATTTAAATGAACCACAAGTCAAAAGTCTCAGTTAAACTCAAGAAGATTACCAACATAATAGTAGAAGTTAATTCGCAAGAAAATTTGCATCTGTATGGTAAAAAAAAAGTTGGTTCGGAACCAATATGCCGAGTTTCTAGGTGCTCATATAATACTTAGAAACCAAAAATCAAGGACACATGTATTTATACCAGGTACAAGAAGAAATGAAAATAGGAGTGAGTATACCACAAGATGAATCTCCTTTCTATCTTCATCCCCTAAAAGTGGCCTTGCTTCTCTAAGGTCTGACGAAAGCATGATGAAAAGCAAACATGGAAGGAGGTTTTCTATTACTTCTGTTTAGCTTTAGCTACGCCATCGCATCCTCCTCCTCACCCCTCCACAGCGGCTTGGGAAAGTCCTGAGTCTCCAAGTCTTCTTTGCAGGGTAGAGAGGGGCTGGGGTGAAACTGGACTTGTCCTGTGCTAGCCAAGAACCCGCACCCCCGCACCCCCACACACACACTCTGCCACAGGCCCAGCTTCTAGAGTATTGCGCTCAGATTAACTTCATTTTGTGTATATACAAAACCTAGCCACGACACAAAAGGAAAGAAGAACTCCTGACCCTCCATTTTTTGCAGCACTCCAGCTCAAAGTTAGCATGGCTTGTTCTCTTCAGAAGCTTCTCGTTGTGCTGCGTTTGCAGTCACAGTTGGGTCACCCCTCGTGTGCACCCCTCCAGCTCATCCTGGAAGGTCGCATGACAGCAGGTGGTCCTGGAACAGAGCTAGACATGCTTCTCGGACCATCAGCCCCCCTGGGTAGCTGCCTATTTCCCACAATCCAAGATGGTTAGACTTGAACTCTCTTGCTAGCCTGCAGCTTAGATTGTGTCTCTTCTATTGTCCCACAGAAATCACCATCTACCTTCCTTCCTCTGAGGCATGGCCTCGTCAGACTCACAGAACGCTGTCATGACAGACCCCAGCCATGTCTCCCAGTCCGGGGGTGGGGGCTTTGAAGTCAGAGGACTCTTCCCACCCTGCTGTTTATTGATTAGCCATGTGAACACAATCGTGAACCGTCTGGTTTCCTCATCTGCAGAATGAGAATCATAGAATGGACTCTTTCCCTAACGTTGACGACAGGATGCAAGCAGGCTAATATGTGCAAAGTAATAATACGCAGCTGGCACACAGTGGTTATTGTTCCTTGGTGTCTGTCTCTGGGCATATTTATTCATAATTGCAACTAACCGAGATTTACTATCCAGCCTTATCTTTAGTCCTTTATGAGCTGAAGGTCTCTGAGGCCATTTAACTAGTCAGATGCTAACGATGTTTTGACCTCTCATGGTTTCTATGTCTGTGTTCCTTAACACAGTTCCTAAAGATGGCCTCAAATGCCAGGCTGCATTTGAAGAAATGAGGACAAATTACATCAAAGAACTGCGGAAGATGGTGACCAAGTGTCCCAACAACTCTGGGCAGAGCTGGCAGAGGTTCTACCAACTGACCAAGCTTCTGGACTCCATGCACGACGTAAGTAGCACGCTAGGCTCTGGTCAGAGAAGGAGCCTCGGCCATGTGTCATGTGACCCATCGGAACCAGATTGTGTCCTTTGGGGAGAACCGAGCTTTCTCATCTAGTGGGAGGCTGGAGGAGTTCAGACTGGCTTGAGAAGATTCCTCTCGATCGCCCGCAGAGCACATTCTCTTCCACAAAGGGCGGCTCTGTGTCCACACCGGGGAAGGCCTTCAGATTTGCTACAGGTGTCAGATAGGGTTTCACATTTTTGCTTGCCGTTTAGGAAATGTTTGGTTAAGTACAAATGTTTGCTTTCACATTACACAAATAGTGTCCGTCTTCTACAACTGCTAATCTAACAACTCGATCTTTGGAAAACATTATTTGTGGTTCAGGGCCAGTTTGGACCATTTCAATCTTTGCCAAGTTTTGAATCCTATAGTCATTATTCTTCATGGGAGTCATTCTTTATTATTCTTCATATCCTGTGCAAATATGGAAAGTAAATCTGCTCTTGTTTCTAACTACATCAATCAAAGATGTAGTGGAGGAGTTAGCTGTTTCAACAAAATATTGATTTAGATATCTTCCTTTGTGTGTCACTTAAAATCTGCTTCTTGCTGGGTACCTGTGGCTCACACCAGAACTCCTAACTAATTGTGAGGCTGAGGTCTGAGGATCACTATTCAGAGCCATCCTGAGCAGAAAAGTCTGTGAGAGTCCTGTTTCCAGTTAAACACCAAAAAAGCCATGAGTGGAGCTCTGTCTCACGTGATGAAGTACTAGTCTTCGGCAAAAATGTTCAGAGACAACACCCAGATCTTCAGTTCAGGCCCCTGTACCAGCACACACACAAAAATAAACTAGCAGATTCTGCTTTTCCTTTCATGTTGCAAACAGGTTTTTCCAATTCTGGCTCAAAGAACGTTGTAGGCAGTCATGCTAAGTCAGTTCTTCATATTTGGGAAGTTTCCAGGGTTTCTTCCAGAGATGTTCCTGTTCAGATTTGGCCTGGGTGATCTGACAGGCTTGATGAGCGATATTATAATGCTATTCCAGTTGTAATGAAAGTTGGCTCATGTAGTGGCACATCAGCTCTCTGTGATACTAGAATGTCCTTGCCCAGTGTTGCACACATGGGGATCCTGGCACATCGCTGACCTCTGCTTTCTCTAAATTTCTTCCACGATGACAGTCAAAGTTGTTACAAGGTGAACTCCATGATACATAACTTTGCTGCTTATCAAGAAGTTAAATAGTGTGGCCTAGTACAAATCAGAGATGTTGGTAAGCCAGGCCCTATGATCCACACCGGAGGAAATACAGGAGATAGAGCTACAGTGGGTGTGTGGCCGTCCATTCTACACACACACACACACACACACACACACACACACACACACACACACCCCTCCTACGTGAGGAAGCAGCACATTACCTTTTTCCCACTGATGTCACTAAAGGGTCATCTTCCTAGAGATTAGAATGGAGAGAATGGAGACTTGTAGTTCTTTCTTAATAAATAATTTTATTTATACAGGCATCAAAATCATTGTGTAGTTATACACACAATTACAGGTGGAACATGCAGACTCAATGGTGGTGTATGCTTGTAGTCCCAGATATAGGCGAGAGGATTAAGAGTTCCAGGTAGGCCCAGGGCAAAGTTAGATCCTGTCAATCTGTGCTGAAGTGATGTGTAATTCTTTATATAGACAATTCTTTCTCTTTCTTTGTGGGAATGCCAAGCAATAGAATGCCTGTTAATACTGGAGTGGTATTTTCATTTTTTCAGGAAACACCAAAATGTTTTCCAAAGTAGGTGCATGGTTTTATATCCCCATAAGAAATGACAGTTCTGACTGCTCTACAGCCTAGCTAATACTTAGCATGGTTGTTTCATTGTTATTGTCATTGTGCTTGAACTCAGGGCCTGGGTGCTACCCCTGAGCTTTTTCTCTCAAGGCTAGTGTTCTACCACTTGAGCCACACCTCCACTTCTGGCTTTTTGGTGATTAACTGAAGATAAGTCTATGATCTTTCCTGCCCTGGCTGGCTTTGAATCAAGATCATCAGATCTCAGCCTCTTACTAAGTAGCTAGGGTTATAAGTGTGAGCCATTGGCACCCACCTTCGTTTGGGGCCATTCTGTAGTGTATGGTATCTCTCTGTAGCTTTTAATTTTTATTTCCTAATGATTGATGGGGTAGAGCATCTTTTCCTTTGCTCGTTTATTTCTTTACGTCTTTTGGGGGGAGATAGTATTCGATTATTTTCTTTGAAGTGTCCTTCATCTTTTTTTCTTATGTGTTCTCTGACTGTTCAGTTTTGAGAACTGTCAAGATACAAATCCTTGATCAGACATGTAATTTGCCAGCATTTTCTCCCAGTCTGTAGTTCCACTTTTCATTCTCATAAAGATGTGTTTAGAAGGAATGGAATTTTAAACTTCAATGAGTAGGTAAGTTTTCCATCACTGTACCAAAGATTGGACAGAACCACCTTGTAAAGGGAAAGGTTTATTTTGACTCACAGTCTGAGAGATTTTAGTCCATGTCGGTTGTCGTGTAGCTCTGGGCCAGCAAGCCATCTCTCATAGTGAGCAAAACATTTGTTTCATGGGGAACCTGGGAACAAAGAGAGAAAGAAGAGACCAGGGTCCCACAATCCCATTTGAGTTTATACCCCATGAGTGGAGGGTACACCCCAGTAATTTGAATGTATTCCTAATGGACTGAGTGTGCACCCCATAATCTGAGTGTACACCCTGTGATCTGAGTGTATACCTGTGATCTGAGTGTACACCCTGTGATCTGAGTGTGCACCCTGTGATCTGAGTGTGAACCCTGTGAGCTGAGTGTACACCCTGTGATCTGAGTGTACACCCTGTGAGCTGGGTGTACACCCTGTGATCTGAGTGTATACCTGTGATCTGAGGGTACACCCTGTGATCTGAGTGTATACCTGTGATCTGAGTGTACACCCTGTGATCTGAGTGTGCACCCTGTGAGCTGAGTGTGCACCCTGTGATCTGAGTGTACACCCTGTGATCTGAGTGTACACCCTGTGAGCTGAGTGTACACCCTGTGAGGTGGTGTTCACCCTGTGAGTTGAGTGTATACCCTGTGAGCTGAGTGTGCACCCTGTGAGCTGAGTGTACACCCTGTGAGCTGAGTGTGCACCCTGTGATCTGAGTGGACACCCTGTGAGCTGAGTGTACACCCTGTGATCTGAGTGTTCACCCTGTGAGCTGAGTCTACCCTGTGATCTGAGTGTACACCCCGTTACCTGAGTGTATACCCTGTGAGCTGAGTGTGCATCCTGTGAGCTGAGTATACACCCTGTGAGCTGAGTGTACACCCTGTGATCTGAGTGTATACCCTGTGATCTGAGTGTGCACCCTGTGATCTGAGTGTACACCCTGTGATCTGAGTGTATACCCTGTGATCTGAGTGTGCACCTTGTGAGCTGAGTGTGCACCCTGTGATCTGAGTGTACACCCTGTGAGCTGAATGTACACCCTGTGATCTGAGTGTGCACCCTGTGATCTGAGTGTACACCCAGTGATCTGAGTGTATACCCTGTGATCTGAGTGTACACCCTGTGATCTGAGTGTGCACCCTGTGAGCTGAGTGTATACCCTGTGAGCTGAGTGTACACCCTGTGATCTGAGTGTACACCCTTTGAGCTGAGTGTACACCCTGTGAGCTGACTGTTCACCCTGTGATCTGAGTGTACACCCCGTGATCTGAGTGTACACCCCGTGATCTGAGTGTATACCCCGTGAGCTGAGTGTTCACCCTGTGAGCTGAGTGTACACCCTGTGATCTGAGTGTTCACCCTGTGAGCTGAGTGTGCACCCTGTGAGCTGAGTGTACACCCTGTGATCTGAGTGTACACCCTGTGATCTGAGTGTTCACCCTGTGAGCTGAGTGTTCACCCTGTGATCTGAGTTTGCACCCTGTGAGCTGAGTGTACACCCTGTGAGCTGAGTGTACACCCTGAGAGCTGAGTGTACACCCTGTGAGCTGAGTGTACACCCTGTGAGCTGAGTGTACACCCTGTGAGCTGAGTGTTCACCCTGTGATCTGAGTGTACACCCTGTGATCTGAGTGTACACCCTGTGAGCTGAGCGTGCACCCTGTGAGCTGAGTGTACACCCTGTGAGCTGAGTGTGCACACTGTGAGCTGAGCGTACACCCTGTGATCTGAGCGTACACCCTGTGAGCTGAGTGTGCACACTGTGAGCTGAGTGTACACCCTGTGAGCTGAGTGTACACCCTGTGTGCTGAGTGTACACCCTGTGATCTGAGTGTGCACCCTGTGAGCTGAGTGTACACCCTGTGATCTGAGTGTACACCCTGTGATCTGAGTGTACAACCTGTGAGCTGAGTGTGCACCCTGTGAGCTGAGTGTGCACCCTGTGAGCTGAGTGTATACCCTGTGATCTGAGTGTGCACCCTGTGATCTGAGTGTACACCCTGTGATCTGAGTGTACACCTGTGATCTGAGTGCACCCTGTGATCTGAGTGTACACCCTGTGAGCTGAGTGCACACCCTGTGAGCTGAGTGCACACCCTGTGAGCTGAGTGTACACCCTGTGATCTGAGTGTACCCCCTGTGATCTGAGTGTACACCCCGTGATCTGAGTGTACACCCCGTGATCTGAGTGTGCACCCTGTGAGCTGAGTGTGCACCCTGTGAGCTGAGTGCGCACCCTGTGAGCTGAGTGTACACCCTGTGATCTGAGTGTACACCCTGTGATCTGAGTGTACACCCTTTGAGCTGAGTGTGCACCCATTGAGCTGAGTGTACACCCTGTGAGTTGAGTGTACACCCTGTGAGCTGAGTGTACACCCTGTGAGCTGAGTGTGCACCCTGTGATCTGAGTGTACACCCTGTGATCTGAGTGTACACCCTGTGAGCTGAGTGTGCACCCTGTGAGTGTACACCCTGTGATCTGAGTGTGCACCATGTGAGCTGAGTGTATACCCTGTGAGTTGAGTGTACACCC